GATGGCCCATTGACAAAGGTGGGGGGAAATGAGTGATCTTGGCTGAGGCCTTAATGGCCCATTGACAAAGGTGTGTGGGTGGGGGGGGGAGGCAGGAAGCTGCTTTGTCTTTAAAACATGTTTCTCCATTTCTCATCCAGGGAAAATATAATATTCTGCCTTTTTAAATATTTCCTAAAATATTTCATTCTTCTAGGAGAGGAGTGGGCGCTAACTTCCTACAAAAGTATTGTTATTATTTTTAAAGTAGCAGAAATAAAGACATGCTCCCAGTATCATTTTGGAATCACTAGGTGAGAGAAAGGTGGAGAGAAAAAGAGACCGGCAAGACTATCCCAAAGCATCGAATTAGATGTGCAAGCGTATGAAAGCTTTAATCGGTTAATTGATCTGCCAAATGCCAGCTCCTGGGTTTTGTTTAACGAGCTGACAGTTGTATTTACAACTGTGAAGCAGAGGTGTGAGGGAGGGACTGGCTGAATGGAAGCATGAGTAGGGAGAATGGAAGGAGCAGGGAGAGCGAAACCAGCTGGTAGAGCCATTCTCCCACCTTGGCACCAACTTTTATGATAGCTGTGCCTGTCTCGGACGGCATCCAGGGCCCCAGTATTTATAAGGAGCTGCTGAGCAATTAAGAATGTCCCATCCTCCCTCTGAGACTAGCACCTCAAAACCTTTGATTCTGGAAGAGCTGCAATTGAATCGTTTCTCTGGATCTGGGGTCCTCCCAATTTCCCAGGGAGAAAAACAGCTCCTTCGTGGATGGGCTATGAGCCATACCCAAATGAGAGCGCCCATGAAACATGGCCGCATGACAAAACCTTGAAGTTTAAGTACGATTAAAAATAATAATACGCTGAAAGATGCCCCTTTTCTAATGGCTCGCAAACCCGTGAGAACAAGACGGATTTTTATTCGGCCAACTTGGAAAGGCACTCCGCTTCTTCCAGCTCGGCGAATGTATATGCGCACGGCACGCTTCCATGTCGTTAATCGTGGTTTCTCGAGCCAATTTTGCGCCACCCACTGAACTTACAAACTAATTTCACAGCTTGGGTTATGCTAAATTGCAATGGGTAGTTGGCGGTGTTTGCAACAACACAATTGAGCAGTTGCGTTGGGGCCATGCGAAAATTTCCCACAAAGTGATGGAGAATCTTAAGAGCCATTCTGAGAACCGGAAATGTCATTTCGCTCAGAAATGGAAGTCTTTCTTTCTTCATGGTGCAAACAACTGAAATGGGGAGGGAGCACAGCTTAGTATCACAGCAATTCCTTGTAGAGTCAAGGTGTTAGGTTTCACCTAGTTTAAGAGTTTAGGTACCAATCAATGCAAGAAATTAAAATTAATTAAGAAATTAAAGGGTTGCGGTGGCTCAGTGGCTAAGGCGATGAGCTTGTCAATTGAAAGGTCGGCAGTTCAGCGGTTCGAATCCCTAGTGCTGCGTAACGGGGTGAGCTCCCGTTACTTGTCCCAGCTTCTGCCAACCTAGCAGTTCGAAAGCAAGTAAAAAATGCAAGTAGAAAAACAGGGACCACCTTTGGTGGGAAGGTAACAGCGTTCCGTGCGCCTTTGGCATTTAGTCATGCTGGCCACATGACCACGGAAACGTCTTCGGACAATGCTGGTTCTTCAGCTTTGAAACGGAGATGAGCACCGCCTCCTAGAGTTGGGAACAACTAGCACGCATGTGCGGGGGAACCTTTACCTTTACTTACAATGCAAGAATCCGTGTCTAGTTCACACATCACCCAAACCATGGTTCGCTTGGCATTCACACACACCTTAGTCAACTATTAGCCATGGTTTACCAACATCACAAAGGTTTGATTCAGACAACACGTTGAGTCACATTATGGTCCCTTGGGTTTGGCCGAAAGGCAAAGTGTAGACTTCAGCTAGCAGTTGCTTTGGTTTCTACAGATTTTGAGGTCCAGATCAAAGCACTCCACAATTTTTTTCAGCCCTGAACTGTCTCCAGCGAACGGTTTAATCCTCTGGAGATCTGCAGTGCATCTGGCAGAGATACTAAGAAAAGGATTTTTCAGTGATGCTATTAAGTTACATTTGGAAAGAAGACATGGCCTTTGCTTAGGAAAAAAAAATACTAAAGATAAACAGAAGGGGGAGTTGGGGAAATTCAATATTTTGACCACTGGAAAAGTAAAAAGGGATTAGCAAGAGATGGCTGGGTGGAGCGTCTTGGTTCCCATAGCATTCTTCCAAAGTCTCTCATCCGTGAATTTGTTTGGATTGTTCTTTAAATAAAGAGTTTGTTATTAACTCCGAGTACCTATTGGTGCTTACCTTGCTACAAGGTTTCTCCACTGCATAAATATCTACTCTCAGCATCTTCCAGCACAACAAGACTGCCTCACTTCCACCCTGCACCGCCCCAAAACCCCCTCCAGATAATCTGGAGAAGATGCTTCTACTGCAGCCTTCCACATTCCCCAGCCAAGGACAATTCAATCACTCACTTCTTACTCCTGAACTACATCTGCCCCCCTATTTGCTACTTCTTGTACATTGGATTTGTTCCCTGTGCTGACACTCTCTGCTTGGCTGCTTTGAAGCCTCAAGGGTTCAATTGTCCTAGTTAAAAAAAAAAAAAGAATTTGGAAAAAAAGAGAGCGAATTGCCCTACAGTAAATTGTCAAGAATTTCCTGGTGTACCTTTGTGGCTTCATTGTGTGGAGAAGAGCACAAGGTGTGCTGCCCTTTGCTGCAATACTCAAGGGAATTATTGAACGTGGAGCATTGAAGCTCACACCTGCTCAACAGGAGAGTCTTAGCTATATGGGATCAGTGACCAATGACTGGTCATATCCTGCTTAAATGCCTGCCTCAAAGGGAAGACGGTTAATGGTTCTTGATGCTTTGTTCTCATAATGTTGCACCCAATGTATCGACCGTATTGTGGTTTAATTTACCGTAATTTTCAGAGTATAAGACGCAGCTTAGTTTTGGGGGAGGAAAATAGGGGGAAAAAAATCTGCCTACCAGGTATTCATCTGACTAGCATCCTTAGTTTGGTCAGCTTCAGCACATTAGTTTGCTGGTTTTTATCCCCTGCTTGGAGATAAAAAACAGCTTCTAAAGCACAGCTGATCTTTGGAGAGAGAAGCAATGAGAAAAGCAGGCAAAGCACGGAGATCGCTTCCCTCGCTAGCGCCTCCTTAGGGCTGAAAGAAAACTTCACAGCTGAGAGCACTTCAGTTGCTAGCGCCTCGTTAGGGCTGAAAAAAGCTTCAAAAAAGCTACATTCAGAGTATAAGACGCACCCAAATTTTCAGCCTCTTTTAGGACGAAGTGTGTCTTATACTCTGAAAAATACGGTAATAAATCCCTGGTGGCCCAATGGTTAGAATGCAATATTGCAGGCAAATTCTGCCAAGCGCCAGCAGTTCGATCCTGACCGGCTCAAAGTTGACTCAGCCTTCCATCCTTCCGAGGTTGGTAAAATGAGGACCCAGATTGTTGGGGTGCAAGAGGCTGACTCTGTCAACGGCTTAGAGAGGGCTGTAAAGCCCTGTGAATATAAGGTATATAAGTCTTAAGTGCTACGGCTATTCATTTGATAGCTCAATCCATACAGGGATAGAAGAGTGAGAAGCCCTACACCTTTAGTATAAACGTGGGAGGGGATCACGGCTGGCTTATTCAAATGTTATATGACATCCTTTACAGGTAGCGTTTGCTGATGCGGTTTTATTGATTTGGTTTTCATGAAACAATTCAATAATGTCGTAGACTGGTTCAAAGTGCACAGTGGAAGCAGTTTAAAAGCATTGGGTGGGTGGAGGGTCGAGGTGGGCTCGGAAAAGACACAACTGCACCCCAACAACAGGAAGGATTCAACTTGTCCTCCAATTTAACCACCTTTTTTTTAAAAAAACCATGATCGTTAAGCAAAGGATCTGGATAGCCAGATGTTGTTTGATGCTGCTGAAGGTATGATTGCAGGATTATATTGCAGGCCACACCATTGAAGCTGACAAGAGCATGGAAAAACTCGAAGAGGATGTGTAAAGTCAGAGGATGTGGCAAGTTCTGGCCCAAAGAATCACCAAACGTCGGATGTGACTGAATGGATATATTCATCATCAGCATCACCAATGTATGCCACCCAACTTTCAACAATGCTGGGCTTTGAGCTGTCGTGGCGCAGTGGTTAGAGTGCAGTACTGCAGGCTACTTCTGCTGACTGCCAGCTGACTGCAATTTGGCAGTTCAAATCTCAACAGGCTCAAGGTTGACTCAGACTTCCATCCTTCTGGGGTAGGTAAAATGAGGACCCAGATCTTTGGGGCCAATAGGCTGACTCTTTAAAGCACTTAGAGAGGGCTGTAAAGCAGTGTGAAGCGGCATATAAGTCTAAGTGCTATTGCTATGTAAAGCCCTATGAAGTAGTATATAAGTCTAAGTGTTAAGTGATATTGCTATGGCAGGCTATCTCTGCCTACTGCCAGCAGCTTAATCCTGACCGGCTCAAGGTTGACTCAGCCTTCCATCCTTCCGAGGTGGGTAAAATGAGGACCCAGATTGTTGGGGGCAAGAGGCTGACTCTGTAAACCGCTTAGAGAGGGCTGTCAAAGCACTGTGAAGTGGTATATAAGTCTAAGTGCTATTGCTAGTCCTATTGCTTTCAAAATGTTGGCTACGCCATACTGGTGAAGTAGCCATTTCCATCTGCTTCTTGCCTCGATATGGGAAGAAATTGGGCAGTGTTCTCCAAGCTTAGCCTGGCAGGACACTAAACGGGGACGGAGCTGACCATCGCTTAGGTAGCTTAAATTTCCAGAGATACAAAACTTGGACAAAAGTTTCAAAGGGTTTCTCTGAGTTTGTCCCGAAAGTAACGAATCTAGGAAGATGCATTTTCATTTGTTATCACCCCAACTCACTCACCCTCCCACCTGTTGGTTTTTTTTTTTTTTAAAAAGCTTGTTTTTAAAGTTCTTTCTGAGTTCCATACATGGAAAGAGACATCAGAAAGCAGAGTTCTTGTTTTTAATATTGCCCGTCCTTCTTTAACACTGCATCCCATTGCGAAGTCACAGCCGTCATCGGAATTGCTTACAACTTTGGATTCCTTTGCTCTGGGGTTAATTACTTCCAGAACCCACATCCTCATTTCTCCCCATTCCACCCCAAAGCCAGCCACCGACTACAGAAAGACATATGTCCCAACCCTCCCCTCCCTCAAAGAACGGTCTGCATCTATTTGCGTTTTTCTAAAGAAAAAAAATGTTTTTTCTTCCCCTCCAGAAAATTCTGTTTCTTCTTAGCGTCTCTGCCAAGCACGGAGTTGACATGACGGTGTAGAATCCTTGGTGGCAGCTGTGAGAAGGATAGAGGGGAAGAGAGAAAAACACTTCCAGTTCTTTTAGTCAGCAAAATGCCTACGTACTTGGGGGAGAGGAAGAGATTGAGTGGCTTCAGAAGAGCCTGGGTGGGAAGCTAAAAAAAAACAAAACGACAAAACAGCAGGATACGTGCAAGTGAAAAATCTCATTTTCGTGGCTTAAAAAAAAAAAGGAAATAAAGTTTCCAGCCCTCATGGTGGCAGAGTTAAATAGAAGCACGGGTGGGAATTGGCTGGAGCTGAGAGAATTGTGATGTACGTTCCTCAGGCCAAGATGGCAAAACTACCTGTTCCTTTGTCCATAAAATGCACATCAGCTGTCTAAAAACAGAATTCACGCCAGTGAAAAATCTCATCCTCGTGGCTAAAAAGGAAATACAAGTTTCTAGCCCTCATGGTGGCAAAGTTAAATAGAAGCACAGGTGGGAACTGGCTGGAGCTGAGAGGATTGTGATGTACGTTCCTCAGGCAGAAGGATTAGCAAAGATGACTTATTCTCCCTCAGCAACTGGAGTGGAACAATATATATATCTATGCGTACACAAAACTGGGCACATCTATTTAATTTTCAAAACCGGGATGGCAAAACTACCTGTTCCTTTGTCCATAAAATGCACATCAGCTGTCTAAAAACAGAATTCACGCCAGTGAAAAAATCTCATTCTCGTGGCTAAAAAAGGAAATACAAGTTTCTAGCCCTCATGGTGGCATAGTTAAATAGAAGCACAGGTGGGAATTGGCTGGATCAGCAGCTGTCTAAAAACAGAATCCTGGGAACTGTAATTTCTAGAGGAAGGGAGGACCTCTGCTAGAGAGCTCAAAGCTTCCCCAAATTATAGTTTTGAGGGTGCCTTGGAGAGAAAGAATGACTGCTAAACTCATTTAAATCTACAGTGTTTGGTCATGCTCCAGGAGAACCCAAACCTTGGCAGGACTTTAAAAATAGAGAGCCCTGCCACAGAAAAGGGTCCTTAAAGTGCAGTGTTGGGAACCCACTGAGGAGGCCATACTGCGATCCTACAGACCGGGCAACCATGCCTCAAAGAGCCAGGCGCATAATTTGAGAAAGCAAGAAGGGGCAGAAAAGAACCAGGTAGGACATACTAAAATTCCTTCTTTCACCAGCTCCTGGTTATCACCTCTAAAAGCTTGGCAATGCCCAACCTGTGAAAGATAAGACATTCTTACGAACGGTGCAAAAATAAAAGATGGAGGAGATGATGATGTTGATGGAAGCTGAAAGCCCCACGGGATCTCTTGCGGGGGGGAAGGGAAAGAGTATCCGTGGGGAGACGTGGAGCAGTCCGATTCTTGACACCATCTCTCCTATGGTCAACCATCTACTCGTCGCATCCCAGAAGTTCCATTCTCAATGTGATGCGGTTGTGCCAAGCCTCGGGGAAGACGCGGATAAAGCGGGCATAGAAGGGCGCATCAAACACATTCTTCTTGTGAGAATTGTTGTCATGGTTGCCTTGGAATATCTATGCGGAGAGGGGAAGGAGGAGAAAAGAAGAGGTTGATTTTTAAGATGTTAGCAAAGGTCTCTCAAAGGTGCTTTTTTTTCCAAGAGGCAACTGGATTTTCTGTTGTTTCTTGGAAGACGTTTCGCTTCTCATCCAAGAAGCTTCTTCAGCTCAAGCTGCTTGGATGAGAAGCAAAACATCTTCAAAGAAACAACAGAAAGTCCAGTTGCCTCTTGGAAAAAAAAGCACTTTGGGGACAACCATAACCTGAATGACCGAAAATCTCCATAGACGTTTAGCAAAGATCTGAAATACTCACCACCCTTCACTAAACGAACTTTGGCAAGAAAGAGGCCTAACTTACTTACCCACTGTCTGTCTTGCTTAGCATCAGAAATTTTGGGCTCCCCTTGCAGAGAGATGGGTGGCAAACCAATTTAATCAATAAAATAAGAAGTAGAGACCTTCAAATTTTTAGGTTCTATCATATCGCAAGATCTAAAATGGACACCTAACATCAAAAACATCATCAAAAAAGCACAACAAAGAATGTTCTTCCTGCGCCAACTCAGGAAGTTCAAACTGCCCAAGGAGCTGCTGATCCAGTTCTACAGAGGAATTATTGAGTCTGTCATCTGCACCTCCATAACTGTCTGGTTTGATTCCACAACCTAACAAGACAGAGACAGACTTCAGAGGATAATTAGAAATGCAGAAAAAAACAATTACTACCAACTGCCTTCCATTGAGAACCTGTGTACTGCACGAGTCAAAAAGAGGGCTGTGAAAATATTTACAGACCCCTCGCATCCTGGACATAAGCTGTTTCAACTCCTACCCTCAAAACGACACTATAGGGCACTGCACACCAGAACAACTAGACACAAGGACAGTTTTTTCCCGAATGCCATCACAGCTAAACAAGTAATTCGCTCAACACTGTCAAACTATTCACTAAGGCTGTACTGCTATTAATCTTCTCATCATTCCCACCAGCCATCTCCTCCCACTTACAACTGTATGACTGTAACTTGTTGCTGTAGCCTTACGATTTATATTGATTGTTTCCAAGTATGATTTGATTGCTTTTTTGTTCCCTATGGCTATCATTAAGTGTTGTACCTTATGATTCTAGACGAATGTATCTTTTCTTTTTACATACACTGGGAGCATATGCACCAAAGACAAATTCCTTGTGTGTCCAATCACATTTGGCCAACAAAGAATTCTATAAAGTAATAATTGTGGTCATAAGTCGAGGGCTACCAGAATATGCAGATCGAGAGAACCAATTTAAAATCATCTGGGAAAGTGGGGGGGGGAATCCAAGATAGAAACACATTTCTGCTGCCTAAGAGAGACATTTTACTTGTTCTTATGATGCCTTATATTCATAGACTGACTCCAAATATTTTTAGCAAGGGAAACCACAGGCAATTAGGCAACCAACACCAGTTAAAAAAAAAAAAGGGAAATGTTAATAAAAGTCAAGTCTCTTCAAATTATATTTAACTCCAAGTGACTCTGTTGCTTTCTTGGGAACACTGTAGAAATAATTAGTTACTGGCTTCTTTCGGGATGTTTTTAAAACTCCCCCCATCTAGTTTACCGCCCTTGGATTTCCTGATAGTCTTCTTTCCTTCATAGTACTAAGTAGATCTGACCCTGTTTAGCTATTTTTTAGATTAAGTGCTGCCACCTGGTGTGACAATAAAAACACTGGCACTTCGATGCTAAAGGGCAAGAACTCAGCCTTGGAGATGTCTATGGAGATTCTCAGCCATCCAGGTCATGGTTGTCCCAAAGGTCCTTTTTCAAAAGGACTTTGTTTTTCCTTGAAGACATTTCGCTTTTCATCCAAGAAGCTTCTTCAGTTCTGACAGTTCAGGATGAAAGAAGCTTCTTGGATGAGAAACGAAACGTCTTCAAGGAAAAACAAAGGAAGGCCAGTTGCCTTTTTGGAAAAGCACTTTTGGGGCATCCTGGGAGAAGTATATTTTGTCATGTATTTTATTTTTTTTCAAAAGGAAAACTTACAAACTAACCAAGCCAGGGCGGAGGAAAGATTCTAATATTTCATAATACGCCGTAAGAGAGAGGTCATAAAAACTTCTTCATCAAACAAAACAGGGGGAAAAAGAAAATGCTAAGGATTTGAAAGAGAGGACTCAGTATCATTGCAATTATTTCTTGAAAAAAAAAGATGGAAGTCCTATTTCATAACTTTTGTTTCCTTCCTCCCTCCTTCCTTCTCTCCCTCCCTCCATTCCCTCCCTCCTTCCTCCCTCTCTCCTTCCCTCTGTCCCTCTATCCCTCCTTCCCTCCCTTTCACAGAGGAATAAAATTTTGGGGAAACTAGAGGAAACATTTCAGGACAAGCGTTAATGGAACAGTCTAAGAACTATTCCATGGCATATAGAAAATGTGCTGTGGAGAACAGTTGGATTATGAATGAATTAACAATATCCTGGTGTCTGGTGGCCTAATCTTTTCCCTCTTTTTAATTATGCAAATTTTAATCGGTTTTTAAATGATTGGGGTGTTTTAATCTGTCTGGGCCGAATTGTTTAATTCGATTTTACTTTGTTTTTAAATTTTGCATCTATGTATTTTTACGGTTTGGCTGTTCACCGCCCTGAGTCCTTCGGGAGTAGGGCGGTATATAAATCAAATAAAGTAAGTAAGTAAGTAAGTTGTATCTTAGATATAAGTTGTTTTCATTTCTTTATATCTGTTGGGAACATTATAACTTTAACCAACGTTTTTGTTGATGGTTTTGTAACCGTTCTGCAAACTGAGCCTGTGTTGAATGAATGAATGAATGATCAATGAATGAATGAATGAATGGATGGATGGATAGACCCTGCACTGACTCCCAATCCTACAAAAAGATTTTGCCCAATTCTACCTTGATGCTGTTTGTCCTGTTGTCGCGGTAGAAAGTCCAGATTTTCCCATCATTGCTGTAGGCTACTTTGTAGGCTGCTACATATTGAATGTGCCCAAAATCTCGTGCTCCCTGCGTTATGATCCCAGTCACTTTTTTCAATTTCTGAAGATCAATCTGCAGAAAACAAGCATAATAATCCCACCGGTTGAAGAAAATCAATTGATCGGTGTAGAGCTGGAGGGCACCTTGGAGGCCTTCTAGTCCAACCCCTTGCTCAAGCAGAAGACCCTATACCAGTGATGGCTAACCTTTTTGCCATCACGTGCTAGGAGGGTGGGTGGGGGGGTTTGCACGCGCATGTGCCCACACCCATAAGTATATGCGCCCCGCCCCCACGCATGCGCGCATGACCCTCCCCTCCCCCCCCCCCACTCCTGGCACGTGATGGCTCGGTAGGCCCGTTTTTCTATCTCACCTGGCTGCAGATCCTCTCTATGAGTCTGGGGTGGGTGAAAACAGCCTTCCTCGCCCTCTCAGAGGCCCTCCTGTTGTCTGCCACACCTATGCATCTCCACCCCCTGCCTTTTATCCCCAGAGCTAGGATGGGGCTTCACTAGCAGGGATCGGCCCACAGATTTCCACTGGTCTCCTCTTCTCTGCCTTCTGTGCATAGGTTCAGTGCCTAACCCAGCTGTTCCTCTTCTTCCTCATCAGCCACCTCCAGACCTGGAGGTGTTGACTCTTCATCTGAGGGCTTGCGGATATCTTCTGTCTATCTCTCGGCCAGCTCCATTCCCTCTTCCCCCTCGGAGCTCTCAGGTTGCCTTGATGCTGATCCTGATTCCCACACCTCCTCCTTATCTGATTCGGCTGATAGAAGGGCTGGCGGCCAACAGATGCAAGGAAGCTGGATGGTTACAATAAGGACCACGTTTATCAGCCCTACCCCGCAGATTCCAGCTAAAACCATTTCTTCTTACGCCAGCTTTTTTTTTTTTTTAATAACGTTTTTATTGTGCATTTTCCTTTATTCTACATCACCGTTTCAATTTTGCAACAGCAGTGTGCTGGTTGCATCAGACCCTTTTTAAATATACATGATGTTATACACCCTAAACGCAACCCTTTTTCTCTTAATCATATAGTATAGTCTCTTTTTACATGCCTAATATTGTACGTCACAATTATATCCATTATTTCCATGGTTATACCATTGCCGTCTATACATCTATCACGATGTGTTTTGATTTACAGCTGCGTACAGTCCAATAATACTATTGCTTGCAGCGTATGTTCTTATGTATATCTTTGCACCTGTATTTATTTCTAGTTTGTGGATCTTCTTCCATTATTAATTTTCTAATTTTCTTATGCCAGCTTTGATCCCCTCTGGCAAGGACATACCTGAAGCCACTCGCCTGCCTTGTTGGTGAGGGCAGTCCAGGCATTGGATTTCCCAGTGTTATCAAGGCGGGCGTAGTAAGGGTGCCAAGACATCCTACTTATGCCCCAAGTCTTGTACACACTGGAGGCTGTGATCTGCCGGTCAGAGATGTGATGGGACTTCATGCCCAGCGGATCCGAGCAACCTGCCGTGTTGAAATACACTGTAACACAACGATTTATAGACATAGTGAAAGGCAAGAGTTTGGAAGGAAGAAGACTCTCCCAAGGATGGTGGCTTTAAGGAGAAACCCCCCCCCCAAAAAAAAGTCCCACAAGAGGAAGATCAATTTTTAAAAGCAACAACAGATATTTAGATAGAAACCACCACCAGAGGGTGTCTAGATTATCGCTGATGCAGATAGAGGATGCTTTCAGGTTAGCATTTAGTATAACAGAGTTGGAAGGGACCTTGGAGGTCTTCTAGTCCAACCCCCTGCTTAGGCAGGAAACCCTACACCAATTCAGACAAATGGTTATCCAACATCTTCTTTAAAAATTCCAGTGTTGGAGCATTCATCACTTCTGGAGGCAAGTTGTTCCACTGATTAATTGTTCTAACTGTCAGGAAATTTCTCCTTAGTTCTAAGTTGCTTCTGTCCTTGATTAGTTTCCACCCATTGCTTCTTGTCCTGCCCTCAAGTGCTTTGGAGAATAGCTTGACTCCCTCTTCTTTGTGGTGGCCCCTGAGATATTGGGAAGATTTATGCAGTAACAACCTGCCAGAATCCTACACTCCAGATGAAGGATGTGATGTGCATTTATCCAGTTTTGTATTGACAGTCACTGACACTGGAACGGGGAAGTATTTAATTTTTTTGTATTTTCAAACTCATCTCCAAAAATTGTAAGATTAGTTAGCGTTGGAAAGGCCCAGTCCTCTGAATGTGGCAATGCACCTCATCTGTTTAAAAAGACAGGAACTGGGAAAATGCTTGTACAAAAGGACATGCTTCCATGAAGATATAGAAATGCAAAGTATTTACAAAAATAGTTATTAAGCAAAACTGCAAATAGTACATAGATTTGGGGAAATGTGCACCAAAGATATCTGTGTTTGGGTGCAATTTTTTTAAAAAAAATGAAATCAACTTAATAGATTTACAACTCTCTGGCTCTGTAGAACAGATGGTTTTGTCTTCCAATTGTCATTCTTCTGTATTTTCCTACTAATTTCCTTTTTTCCTTTCTTTCTACTAAGGGCGTGCAAATGTTTCATTTCAAGCCATTTTATTTATAACATTCATATAACCACTCCTCTTATAACCAACTCGGGGCAGCTCCCAGTCAAAACAGCAGAAAAGCTATATTAAAACTATAAAAACTAAACAAAACGAACATTTAGTTTCACATTTGGGAGTGTGAAATTATTTCAGGTGCAAAATGACCTATCTTGGGCACTCGGGAATGGACTTGACACAGGATAGATCGCAAAATGCTTTGAAATGAAGTCTTTTGAACATCTCTACTTTCTACCTAGATCAGGGGTCTACAATCTTAAACACTCAAAGAGCCATTTGGACCCGTTTCCCACAGAAAAGAAAACACCGGGAGCCACAAAACCCTTCCTGTGCCTGACTATTGCTTGAGCGGCCACAAAACTAGCATATGTAGTTGAATTAAACGTTGTTTTCTTCTGAAACGTTTCTTTTCTTGGATTTATCCATGGTTGGCCTACCAGGGGTTGAAAAGCTCAATAAATCACATGCCGGTGGGTGTCGCACATTGGTGGTTGTGACGAATATTTTGAGTGCCAGGGAGCTGCAGCAGACGGGTAAAAGAGCCACATGCGGCTCCAGAGCCACAGGTTGCTGACCCCTGCTCAAGACTGTCCATCATTCTAGCTTTCTCCATTTTCGGAGCAGAGCCCCGAATTATGCAAAAAAGCTGACCATGGTCATCTATATCATTTAGACAGCTTGCAAAATTCTGCCTTTCCTGAGGAGTAATTTAACCCCGCCCCCCAGGCTCCGTTTTAATTTTTATAATACACCAAGCTGGCCAATTGTCCCAAGCGCTCCAGGTGTCAAAAGGACAAGCTCAATTTTCAAGGGCTATTGGAAAGGAGGAGCGCTCCAAAATGACGTTTTGGATTCCAGAGAACCTCTCCAGAGGTTTCCATAATCTTCTGTCAGCACTTTTGCTTTCCTCTGCTCAGTCCCCAGTTAAGTAAAAGGATGTCGCGTGGAAACAAGAAAACTATCTGAAGGCTCCAGAGCCCCCGTTGCCCAATTATCCATGCGAGATTGTGCGCCTCCACCCAAATTCATTAGACCAATGGGAAGCATTTACCATTCATTTCACAGCCAATCAATTCAAACCGCATCGTGCAGCCACGATAGCACTTCCCTGGGTGGATTCGGAAATACTGGGCGACGACTGGAGAATTAAACATGTTGGTCGCTGGGGTATGTTTGTCTTGACTGCCCGAGAAAATCTGCAGGAAGGAAAAAATACAAAATGAAGAGTATCTTAAGAGTAGGACTGTGAATCCCTTTCCAAGGCTATACAGTCCTGGAGACACTGTTTTGCCATATATACCGTGTTTTCCCTAAAATAAGACCGGGTCTTATATTATTTTTGCTCCAAAGGACACATTAGGGCTTATTTTCTGATTAGGTCTTATTTTTGGGGGGGAAATACGGTACTAAATGTACCCATCTGGCTGACAAGATTAACTGGAGCTTATTTTTGGGGTAGGGCTTATATTACAAGCATCCTGAAAAATCATATTAGGACTTATTTTCTGGTTGGGTCTTATTTTTGGGGAAACAGAGTACTTGTACAATAATAGCATAAAGGCTTGATTATGGAGCTTCGGTTAGGGATATGAGAATGTGAATCCCTTTTTGGATACACGGATAATTTGTCTTGAACCACTTATACTTTTAAGTCAACTTTGAAAAATAAGTATGACAGGAACATGGGTTGACCTACAGAGATGCAGACTAATTTAAGTTCCTAAAGCCCAGTTGGAATAAAAAAAAAAAAACCCATGGAAGCTATTATCCTCTACAGCAGGGGTGTCAAACTAAAGGCCCATGGGCCACATCCAGCCCACGGGGTTCTTAGATCTGGCCTGCAGGGTTGCCCTGGAAACAGCGAAGGACCGGCCCCCTATGCCTCTGCCAGTGAAAACGGAGCTCAGGAGGGCCACCATTTTCAGCTGCAACTGCCTCCTGCAACCCTCTGCCAGTGAAAACGGAGCTCGGGAGGGCCACCGCTTTTGGCTGCGACAGCCTCCTGCAGCCCTCTGCCAATGAAAGCGGAGCTCAGGAGGGCAGCCATTTTCAGCTACGATGGCCTCTTGCAACCGTCTGCCAGTGAAAACGGAGCTTGGGAGGGCAGCCATTTTCTGCTACAACGGACTCCTGCAACCGTCTGCCAGTGAAAACGGAGCTCAGGAGCCCGTTTTCAGTGGCAGAGTGCTCAGGCCACCACAGGCGCCCCTGACACGAGTGACATTGAGCTGGCCTTGCCCACCATGGCCACGCCCACCAGTTTCCCCCCCCCATGTCAAACATAACCCTGATGTGGCCCTCAATGAAATTGAGTCTGACATCCCTGCTCTACAGCAAGCAAAACCAACACTTAATTATAATATATCAAAAAATATGAGGGAGAGGGTTGAGAAAAGAGCTAAACTAAGAACCTGGATCATACAGCTAACAAGATTTAGCAGATCCATATTTTGAAACATCTAAGAGTACTTTTGGATAACAAGGATTCTTGGAAGAGCATCAGAATGACATTTTCTAGGTAGCACTGCTGGCATCAAGCTTTCTTTTTTCACCAAAAGGGGGAGCTAGTTCCTACTACCCCACCCAGCTTTTCAAAGCTAAACAAACTCAGATTTTCTATACAATAGAAGTTGGTATCTATAGTAGTGGCCAAAATTGTGGACACCTTTTGGGAAAAGTGTATTTTCTAACATTAGCTAATAACACCACTTTTTTGGGAGGGAATAGTACGTATTTTTTCTATGGTGATAATTTTTTTTTTTTTGAATGATGGAGATATATATATACATAGAAATATAGAATACTGAAGTAATTTTCTTTTTTCGTGAGGTTCAAGTTGCAAGACTTGATTTTAATGTATAGTTTGTTTATGTCATGTATTGTATGTATGTATGTTTTTGTTTGTCTATCTTTAATAAAAAATTATTTTAAAAAAATATGGTGATAATTTTTGTATATCTCATCTTTTCTACGTGTTTCACTTTTCTTCTTTATGCTGTAACTGCTATTCTAATAGCAAATCCTTCATAAAAGTTATTGCATTACATTCTTGATTAAATTATCTTTCCATTGATATATAATTTTATGGTACTACTCCAACAAGTAGTGTTGGAGTGTTATTAGCTAGTTTTAGAAAATACACTCTTCCCAAAAAGTTTCCACAATTTTGGCTACTACTGTATACTAACCAAATATCTAACATCTCCCACTTTTTCTAAGTTGAACAGGGTTTCTTTTGGACACAGCATAATATCTTGCTATCTTCTTTTCTTGCAGAACAGATACTCAATACCGTCTTTACTTAAACAAACTTGTCCATGCAATTCAAGAGAAATCAAAACCGTCATTCACATACTGTTGTAATGTTTACAGGAATACAAGGCAATCAATCATTTTGTATATCTTACAACAATATTCCGGATGGACAGATCTTTGGTGTACAAAGTATTTACCTTCTGATCCTAATGACAACACCATAGGCAAATGTCCTGTGGCAGAATTTAAGACACATCAAGTACTAATATCCCCGATTGATCTATATTTATTTGTTCTCATAAGCTTTTCTATCTTATTGCACATGGATCACTGAGCAAAATAAAGATTGCATTGTACTACGGTAAACTGCATGCGTAGGATAATACAACTCAACAATGATACTATTATATATTACTGCTTAAAAATAAGTAAAGATAATCCCTATAATTGATGAACTAAAGAACATTAAGCTTTGCAACTGGTTAATGCAGAGAAATAAAAGCCTGTAACTGACAGATTTTAATGACCCTGTAATCCTTTGCATTGGGGTAGAAACGGGGTGGCTGAATGGAGCTGAGTATTTACTGGCCGGATGCCCTTCCTGACGCCTATGCTGAGTTCGTAGCAGATATTTTCTCTTTATGCCCAGAGAGAAAAAAACCTGCTGCTACCTAGAATTGAACTCACAGCCTCTTGATTGTGAGGCGAGAGCTCCACCTCTAGGCCACCACACCACTCCTGTAACTGGCAGATTGAATCAAGGTAAAACAATATTCATTTGTTATATTCCACATTAAAAGATACAACATACCATTTTATATATATTCAATCCATTCATAACAGAAGCTTCTGCGCCCATCCTACTTTTGTCCCTTTGGCCCAAATTAATGTATTTTGTGAAATGTTGGTGAAAAGCAATTCAAATTATACGAAGCTAAACATAACTGTTCATGCTCTCCTGGTTTTTAGTGCTTATTAAACTCTTGTGATTTTTAATTGTTTTTATATTTATGTTTTTATCGCACTGTAAGCTGTCCAGTGGGATAGTGAGATGGGGCGGCATATAAATGTAATAAATAAAATAAAAACTAGTTAAACCCAGTTACAGCATGTGGGGTTTTAGTATTTTTAGCATTGAGTTCAAGAAAAAAAAAAAGACTTTTCTTTGTAATATTGAACAAGAGAGCAAGGATGCAACAACCTGGTTAATTTAACCAGATCAACAAACTTTGGCTGACTGTTGTAATGTTTATAGGAATACAAGGCACTCGATCATTAAAACTTAGTCCTGAGCGGGAGTGGGCTTCAAAAATTTTAGCAAGAGGTTCTCTGCCCAATTGCTGGATGGGCATGGCCATGGTGGGCGTGGCCTAGTCGGCCTCCTGCACCATGGTGGGGGAGGCGGGCGTTTTTGCCCTCCCCGGGCTCTAGAGGCTTTCTTTGAGCCTCCGGGAGGGCAAAAACGGCCACCCCAGGCTCCGGAGGCCCTCTGGAGGCAAAAATGGGCCTTCCCAAACTTCCGGTAGGCCTGTTTTTCATCCTCCCCGAGCCTCCATGGGCACCCTGAACTTATCTGCATCCAAAACGGGCCACGTGGGGTCTCCTAGGAGGGGTGGGGTGAGCGGGGCCAGCCAGGAGTGGGATTTGGGGGTTCTCCAAACTGCACAGATTCTTAGCTAGAGGTTCTCCCGAACCCCTGCGAACCCCCAGCAGCCCCAACCCTGGTCCTGAGTAAACATGATGCTGACAAATTCAGATGACAACTTTTTCTAACAGTTTCACCAGTTCTGACTGCTCATTGATGCTGGGACTTGGGAGAGTAACTTACATAGCCTTTTTTTTTTTTTTTAAAGAATGAGGTCAAGGCAGCATTCAGCTTTTAGAGGCTACACCCCACGTGCCTCAAATTAATACTGGAACTAACTCCCTCAAAGGTGCTTTGTGTCTTTTTTTCCCCCTACAAGGTAAGAAGAACTTCAATGAGGCGGAGGGGGAGAGAGAGAGCAGAGAGAAAGAGAAAGGAAGCCCAAGAGGAACTGACAAAGTCAATGATGCTCGAAGAGAAATGTGCTTCTGATTATCTTGCTAGCCGGGGCTTGCAAAAAAAATACTAATAAAAAAAATTCAGAGGTGCTGGATTTCCAAATATTTAACACCAACTGAAGCTCTTCAAATACCCTCAAGCTATAAACTGAGTGCTACTGGCCCATCTGGAGCAGGGTGAAAATTAAATATAATTAGCGTTAAGTATAGGGGAGGGCAAGGTGCTAGAAAGTCAGTCTATAGGAATGGAATTCTAGTAATGCAGATACTAAGTCATTCCCCCTCATATCCCCAAGGCTTTAAAAAAAAATAATCGTGGAAAATTTTGCTCCTGTTTGTTTACAATATTACCTAACATATAATTTTCTGTACAAGAGAAAATTATGGTGTAGTGGTTAAGGTGCCAGCCTAGAAACTGGGAGACCGTGAGTTCTAGGCCCAACTTAAACCCAAAGCCAGCGGAGTAACTTTGGGTCAGTCCTTCCCTCTCAGCCTGGGAAGCAAGCAATGGTGAACCACTTCCAAAATCTTGCCAGGAAAACTGCAGATACTACTACTGTAATCCAGCCAGTTGCCAGGAATTAACACTAACTCAAAGGCACCCACCCACCCCCAAAAAACCTGACCCTCCAGGGCTCTGAAAAAAAAAATCACAGAACATTTTGTCCCCATGTATGTTTATAATATTTCATACTGTAGAAAGAATTTCTATACATCTTACAACAATTTACACCATCGCTCAGATAAATTGCCAAGGCCTTTCCCTTCTTTTAAATGCAAATCACACTACTTTACACATGTAACTCACACGTTTTCCTGATGGGAAACTTTTTTGTGTGTGAAAGACAGAAAGGGAGAGAGGGAGGGAGGGAGGAAGGGAAGGAAGGAAGGAAGGAAAAAACAGAAAGAAAAGAGGAGTGGAGGAGAGACAGAGGGAGGGAGAAAGGAAGGAAAAAGAGGAAGAAAAGAGGAGTGGAGGAGAGACAGAGGGAAGGAGGAAGGAAGGAAGGAAACAGGAAGAAGAGTGGAGGAGAGGGAGGGAGGGAGAAAGGAAGGAAATAGGAAGAAAAGAAGAGTGGAGGAGAGACAGAAGGAGGGAGAAAGGAAGGAAGGAAACAGGAAGAAAAGAGGAGTGGAGGAGAGGCAGACAGAGGGAAAAAGGAAGGAAGGAAACAGGAAGAGAAGAGGAAGGGAGGGGAGACGAGATATCCCTCTTTATGTGAAAGCTTTAGGCTTTTGCTTTAATAGAAAGAAGAATTAAGGGAAGAATTAATGAAGCGTTAAAGGAAGCCAAAGATCCTCCTTCTGTAGAACACCTGAAAATGCTTTTGTTGTCCACTTTTATGTTCTTGAAAGGATAACATTGCGATGTAAACAAAGCAAATCTGATCATTCCAAAATGCTTACGTATTATAGATAAAGGTTCCCCTTGCACATACATGCTAGTCATTCCCGACTCTAGAGGGCGGTGCTCAACTCCGTTTCAAAACCGAAGAGCCAGCGCTGTCCAAAGACGTCTCCGTGGTCATGTTGCCAGCATGACTAAACGCCAAAGGCGCACGGAACGCTGTTACCTTCCCACCTTTCGATCGACAAGCTCAGTGTCTTAGCTACTGAGCTACCACGTCCTTTCTAAGTATCATAAGCGTGGTTTAAAATAATTCCTTCGTTTTTCTTTCCTTCTTTCGCCTTCAGTCGCTCTCTCTCTTACCCACCTTTTCCTGATTCTGGTTCTCATCTTTGTAGAATTGAAATACTCGTCCATCTAGACTGTAGGAAACTTTGTAAGTCTCAAACATACTCTGAAAATCCTCCACGGCCTGCCCCTTGAGTAACAATCCCAGAGAGGAACATCGTTTTCAAGAGATTGACCTGCATGGAATTAAAAAAAAAAGGGGGGGTGTTTAAAAGAGGCAGAATGAATCAAATTGGCTGGGTACTTAAATGAAAACAGCAAATCAAAAAGCAAACGAAAACAGCCAGAATTGAGTATTTGATCCTGTGTCAAAAGTCAGATTGTATTGAAGTTACTCTTGAAGTCTGTTCTGCATATGTGAACTCGGTTTCAAGTTAATTAGCTCAACACAGTAATTTTCATAAGAAAAGGTTAAATTGTAATCTCCCCAGGGCATGGATCTGTTTGTTTGTTTTTAAAAGAAAGCCAAGAAATTAAAAGTAACACTTACAGTATGAACTTATCACCAGAAAATGAAAAATTCTGTAAGAATTCCCATGCCAAGCACAAAGGATCAACGCAAGCTTTATTGTTGTTATTGTTTTTAAAAATGTTTTGTTTCCCATCTCACTGTGAACAAGAGATGTTAAATTTGTATACTTTTTATATTATCGTTTTGTGTTTCTGTTTCAATGTAGATTAAGAGGTTATTTTATCATATAGTTGGATCTGTTCTGAAGAATGTTGGAAGTCAGTCTTTTTGTATTTCTTTTTTCCATTTTTTTCCTTGTCCTTTCTAACTTCTTATTCCCTTTGATTCCCTCTCTTCTTTTCCTGCCATTTTGTATTTTATTTCTTTCTGAAACTAATAAAATTGGCTAACATAAAAAAGAGGTAGGATTATAAGGAAGCTTAACAAGAGAGAAGTTTACCTTTCCTTCCTCAGATCTATCACATCACCACCAGCAAATCCTGACAGTGTGTTTATCTTTTAAAGAAAGCTTTTGTGATATCAAAGGAAGCATAAAAAGAAGTTTAATCTTGGCAGGCACGTGTAATTTCTCCAGATGGTCTTTAACTCCATCAACTTAGCAAGCTTGTCCAACTAAAAAGATAAAGGAGCTGCAATCTAACAACACCTAAAGGTAAAGGTTCCCCTCGCACATATGTGCTAGTCGTTCCCGACTCTAGCGGGCGGAGCTCATCTCCGTTTCAAAGCCAAAGAGCCAGCGCTGTCCGAAGACGTCTCCGTGGCCATGTGGCCGGCATGACTCAACACAAAGGCGCACAGAACGCTGTTGCCTTCCCACCAAAGGTGGTCCCTATTTTTCTACTTACATTTTTTACCTGCTTTCGAACTGTTAGGTTGGCAGAAGCTGGGACAAGTAACGGGAGCTCACCCCGTTATGCGGCACTAGGGATTCGAACCGCTGAACTGCCAAACTTTTGATCGACAAGCTCAGCATCTTAGCCACTGAACCACTGCATTCCTTTGTTTGTCCCTTTGTAACAACACCTAGTTGACTTCATAAATGCGTGGCACAACATAGGAGAACAAATCCATCAGGACAAGATTAGGCAGTCCATCTACATTTAAAAGACACAGGCCACTCTTTTGAAGACAGCAAAGTCCACATTTTGGACAGAGAGGACCGCTGGTTTGAGGGGGGGGTCAAAGAGGCCATCTATGTCAAAATTGAAGAGCCCTCTCTCAACAGAGGGGGAGAGACACGACTGTCATGTATCTCCAGTCTACAACACAGTCCTTTCAACAGTTCCAAGAAGGCTCCTCACTCATTTGCATCGCTCAGGTGACCCTGAGGACACAGATAAACCCCCAGGTGGCCTCCCTCGAGGACTCTCTAAAAGAATGCAAATGACTACCTTCCATTCCCACCATCCAGTCAGAGCTTCTTGGATGAGAAGCGAAATGTCCTCAAAGAAAAACAAGAAAGTCCAGTTGCCTCTTAAAGGGGGTGGAGGGGGGAAAGCACCTTTGGGACAACAATGACCTAAATCAGGGCTCTCCAACCTTGGCAACTTTAAGACTTGTGGTCCTGAGGAACTCTGGGAGTTGAAGTCCACAAGTCTTAAAGTTGCCAAGGCTGGAGACCCCTGACCTAGATGACTGGAAATCTCCATAGACACTCTTGGCTAATTGTTGCATGTCTCAGCTGCAGGTTGGGTGAAGAACCCCCAGTGTCATGTCACAATCATCAAGAGCCACTCAGCTCTGAAGCCAATCCATACAGTGGTAACAGCAACACCAATAGCACTTAGATTTATATACCCCTTCACAGTGATTTACAGCCCTCTTTAAGCAGTTTACAGAGTCAGCCTCTTGCCCCCAACAATCTGGGTCCTCATTTTACCAACCTCTGAAGGATGGAAGGCTGAGTCAACTTGAGGCGGTCAGGATCGAACTGCTGGCAGTGGGCAGAGCTAACCTGCAATACTGCCTTCTAACCACTGTGCCACTATGGATAATGGCCACACTTTTCCATTCCCCTTTGTCAGCCCCGAAGCCATTTTCAGCCCCTGACACCCTTCTTGCCTCCTGGAACAGAGGCTTCCTTTTGCACCTATACCTGAATCCAAGGCTTTTTGTCATAGCTGCTGGCTGTCCAGGCGTTCACAACTCCTCCGTTGTGGAGGCGAGCGAGTTCAGGGCCCCAGCGCTGCACGCCCAGGAAGCCGTAATACATCGATGATGCTGTAAGCTGGGTGTCTGCAATAGCTCTTGTCTGCATGCCCAACTCATCTTTGCAGCCTGGAGTGGGTGAATTTTGGAGAGGGAGAAAGAAGAAAACAAGAGCATTGTTGGAACAAAGTTGGAACAAAGCTGGAATACAATGGCAGAGGAGGAATGTAAGAATCAGAATTTAAAAATACAAGAAAAAACAAAACAAACAAACAAAAAAAAAACAGGAGACTTTCTTAAAAAATTGGGACCCAATTATCCAATGTACTCCTAGGGAACTCGGGCTCCAAGCATGGATCTGGCTGCAATGAAAGGAGCATCATTCACACATCAAGTAGTTCAAGAAATGACTCAGAGGGATCCTGAACTCTACAGAAGTGTTAAATAATTTTTTTTTTGGGGGGGGGGATATCTATAAAGTGGCATAAGAAGCCTTTGATCAGGTGGATGGCATACAAATTAGGAAGGAAGGGAGCGAAGAAGGGAGGAGGGAGGGAGATGAGGGAGGGAAGGGAGGGAGGAAGGACAGAGGGAGGGAGGGAAGGAAGGAGGGAAAGGAGGGAGGGAGAGAGGGAAGGAAGGGAGGACGGAGGGAAATGAGGGAGGGAGGGAAGGAAGGGAGGGCGGGAGGAAGGGAGGAGGGAGGGAGATGAGGGAGGGAGGAAGGATGGAGGGAGAGAGGAAGGAAGGGAGGAAGGAAGGGAGAGAGGAAGGAAGGGAGGAGGGAGGGAAAGAGGGAGGGAGGGGAGGGGAAGGGAGGGAGGAAGGTAAGTAGGTAGGGAAGGAAGGAAGGAAGGAAGGAAGGAAGGAAGGAAGGAAGGAAGGAAGGAAAAGTGCGAGCAGAGAATTCCAGTTACCTCCTGATTTAAAAGCAATCATAAATCAGCAAAGAACAAGAGGTGGTTAGAAAAACGTCGTTCAAACTTTTAACAGAGATTTCACACATGCTGGACAGCCTTGGGTAAGCCATCAGCCGTTGCAATACAGCCTACCTCACCGGGCAGTTGTAGGATTAAACAAACAAAAAGACAAAGCTCTTTTTATGCTTTTTTTTTTTAAAACGCATTTCAAAGAAAAAACAAAAACCCCTGTAAAGCACAATGGCCTTTTGTGTGGCTTGTTTTGTTTTGCGCTGGGCTGCGGCTGCACTGCCAAGGAAAGCAAGCTTTTGCATTTGTTCAGAAAAGCAGAAACCGTCCATGCGTTCTCTTGCCTTGTGACTGAGCCCTAGGTTCGTATGTGTGTGTGTGTGTGTGTGTGTGTGATCAGTCCACTTTTGGCTACAAGGACTCACTAAAAGGAACCAGCAGGTCATAACCAAAGACCCACCTAATCCATTTTGTTTAAAAAAAAAAAAAACCTCATCATGAGGATATCTATGAAGAGCAATTGGGAAGATAATTGTTTTGCCCTGAAAATTGCTAGCTGGGGCATATACCCAGGTGCAGCTGGAATTACTTTCTTGCTCATACAAATTCCCAAATGTTTCCATTTCCTCCATGGTTCCTGAGTGGGAATGTTTGTTGCGGGGAAAGGAGGCTACAAGATTCCCCCACCCCAAATACTTGTTTCTCAGACTTGTGAGAAATGGGGAGGGTTGGCGAGAGGGCGGAGAGGACAGACAGATTTGTCTCAAGATCTCTGTTAATGGCAGCAGTAAACAAGCAACCTTGAATGGCAGGGGGAAGGAAGGAAGGAAGGAAGGAAGGAAGGAAGGAAGGAAGGAAGGAAGGAAGGAAGGAGAAAGGGAAGGGGAAGGAAGAAAGGGAAGGAGAAAGGGAAGGGGAAGGAAAGAGGAAAGAGAAAGGGAAGGAAGGAACAGGGAAGGAAGGAAGGAAAGGGAAGGAGAAAGGGAAGTGGAAGAAAGGTATAGGGAAGGAAGGAAGGAGGAAAGGGAAGGAGAAATGGAAGGGGAAGGAAGGAAGGAATAGGGAAGGAGGGAAGGGAAGGAAGGAAGGAAGGAAGAAGGAGGAGAAGGAAGGAAGGAAGGAAGGAAGGAAGGAAGGAAGGAAGGGAAGGAAGGAAGGGAAGGAAGGGAAGGAAGGAATCCTCTCCAGTCTCTAGCTGTAACATCTGTCCATCTGTAGCTTTCCACTCTAATATTTTTGTTCTCCTTTCACAAATCTTAAGATTTCCCCAAGCCTGCCGTATCCCCAGGATGCTTTGAGGTCCATCAGGAACAAGCTCAGAATATGCTTGCTTATCCACAGAATATAGAGTTTATCAGACCAAAGGCTTTCTGTGGGACCTCTCCCTGAGCAGTCCCACCTCTTCTTCCCAATAGCCATCATTGGTCCTTTGCTTCCCTCTCTTCCCTTCTTTGTGACTGGCTGGGTGAGATCCAGAGGGAAAGAACCAAGTGACAGAGATATGGCTGACCTCACAGCTGTTCAGTAGCTTCGAAGGACAAGCAGAGAGGTGGGTCATGCAAAGAAGAGATTGTGAAGGTCTGAAATCAAGTTGGGTTAGATCTGCTTAGTACTTGGATATGAGAAAGGACAGGGAGAAGTAGCCTTCAAAATCAAAAATCATCCTAGAACAGGGATGGCTAACCTTTTTGCCGTTGTGTGCCAAAAGCGTGGGGAGTGTGGGGGGTCGGGGGGAGTGGAGGGGGGCGGGGGGAGGGGGGGGGGGGCGGGGGGAAGGGGGGGGGCGGGGGGGGGGGGGGGTCGCACGTGCACATGCCCACACTCATAATGCAATGCCCCCCCGCACCCCCCACCCCGCGTATGCATGTGTGACCCATTTTGGGTCTGGCAAGCCTCCCTGAAGCCTCCAGGGACCAAAAACGGGCTGCGGGGGGAGCACTGCACCTCCCACTGCCCTTTGCATGCGCACGAAACCCCCTCCTGCCCCCATGCACGCACGCAAGACCCCCACACATGCGCACGCGTCTCCGCCATGTGCCCTGCCCCCACACCAGAGACCCAAAAATCGGCACTAGGCGTGCGCGAATGCACGGCACTGCCGAGCTGGGTGACGGCTTGCATGCCCACAGAGAGGGCCATAGGTTCACCATCACAATCCTAAAAGAAGCATCAGTTGCAACCATGAAAATTGCCTGGGCTTCTCCACAAAATCCACCAGGCGTTAAGGTTCCAAGGAAAGGTTAACTTATGAGTTTAACGTTTTGTGAACCATGGCTCAGCATTCCTTGAACTGCAGGAATTGCCCTTCGCAGGCCAACACAGGTGACCTTTGTCTCGGGAGAAAACAAAAAAAAACCTGTCTTTCCAGTGCAGGCAGATCCAGCAACGGTGCTCTGAGAACTTCTTCATTTCTTAACTCTCTTCCAACTCACTATCGGGGGACTAAAGACTTACGCATCTGACAGGTCTTCCCCACGAAGGGCGAGGGGCATTTACAGTCGAAGTTGCCCTTCAGATCCAGGCAGGTCCCTCCGTTCTTGCAGGGCTGGGAAACGCATTCGTTCACATCTAGGGCGAAAGGAAACCATTAGATGCAACACGATTACTCCCAGGTTCCACCAGATCTACGTTCCAAGAAAGTCCGAACAAGCCATGCCTAAGTAACAGTAGGACCACAGCAGGGGGTGTAGAAAGCTCGATTTCATTGAAGGCCGCATCAGGGTTGTGTTTGACCTCCCCGAGGGGGGGGGGGCATGGCCAAGGTGGGCGTGGCCAGCTCGCCATCACTCCGTTTTCAGCTGCCACGGCCTCCTGCAATCCTCTGCCAGTGAAAACGGAGCTCGGGAGGGCCCCATGCGGCCCTCCCGAGCTCCGTTTTCACTGGCAGAGGGTTGCAGGAGGCCGTGGCAGCTGAAAACGGCACTCGGGAGCCTGTTTTCACTGGCAAAAGCACCACGGGCTGGTCCTTCACTGTTTCCAGGGCAGCCCCATGGGCGAGATCTAAGTACCCTGCAGGCCAGATCCTGCTCCCGAGCCTTGAGTTTGACACCCCTGGATTACAGTCAACTACTTTCCATTATTTGAAAAACCGTTAACGGTCCATGGCTCAAAACACAGCACTGGTTCATATGATCTACGATATTCATTTAGAAAGACACCGTGTTGCGTCTTCGTTGTTTTCTGGACAAAATCCAGAAAATGTTAAGATGAACATGACGTTTGTGCTTCTTTTTCCAAAGTGATGGTTCGGGGGAAAATAATAACAAGAGGACAACTGAAATGGCATGTTTTTATGATTGCCGAAAATAATAATAATGGGTCCTTCAAGGCTGGAAGGATGCCCATTGTTTGTTAGTTGTATAACTAGCTATTAAGAGGGCAAAATTCAGGTCTGTCACGCACAACAATCTCTCTCGCTCCCTTTCCCTCTCTCTTGCGGGAACAGACATGGCATTGCAATACACTACAGCTTTGTTAACCGTGTTTCACTGAACATGGTTTCCGCCACCGTTTCATCATGAATGTTTATCAGGCTGAGGGACACGTCTGTCAGTCCTGTCCCTAAATGAACTGGTGTGGACCTGACCTTGAGAATGGAGGAGGACTAAAGAAACTACGAGGAGGGTGTGTGTAGCTTTCAGAAAAGATTACGGTAAAGGTAAAGGTTCCCCTCGCACATATGTCCTAGTCGTTCCCGACTCTAGGGGGGGGTGCTCATCTCCGTTTCAAAGCCGGAGAGCCAGCGCTGTCCGAAGACGTCTCCGTGGTCATGTGGCCAGCATGACTCAACGCCAAAGGCGCACGGAATGCTGTTACCTTCCCATCAAAGGTGGTCCCTATTTTTCTACTTGCATTGTTTACGTGCTTTCGAACTGCTAGGTTGGCAGAAGCTGGGACAAGTAACAGGAGCTCACCCCGTTATGCGGCACTAGGGATTCGATCTCCTGTGACCTGTGGGATATCTTTCCAGAAGAAAACCATACTCACTGTTCTGGCAGTGTTTGCCATTATACCCGGGACGACATATGCACATGTATTCACTGAAGGCATCACCCCGATTGGGAAGTAACCTGCATTCCCCTTCATTCTTGCATGGATTTGGATGGCAGGGACCTAAAAGCGTGAGATGCAGGAGGAGGAAGAAATTGGGAAGAAAAGGAACGCAATCAGCCTCTGCAAGATCCATCTCTCTTAAGAGTAGTATTGAGCCTTGGTGACGCAGTGGTTAGAGTGCGGTTCTGCAGGGTACGTCTCCTGACTGCCGGCTGACTGCAGTTTGGCAGTTCGATTCTCACCAGGCTAAAGGTTGACTCAGCCTTCCATCCTTCTAAGATGGATAAAATGAGGACCCAAATTGTTCGGGGCAATAGGCTGACTCTGTAAAGCACTGTGAAGCTGTATATAAGTCTAAGTACTATTCTTTCCTTCCTTCCTTCCTTCCTTCCTTCCTTCCTTCCTTTCCTGTACCTACCTACCTATCCACCCAATGGTTACAATGCAGTATTGCAGGCTAACTCTGCTCACATTGCCAGGAGTTTGATTCCTGAGTGGCTCAAGGTTGACTCAGCCTTCCATCCTTCCGAGATGGGTAAAATGAGGACCCAGATTGTTGGGGGCCATAGGCTGATGCTGTGATCCAGGCCAAAGAATGATTAATAAAGTTTGGGCCATTTGCCATGATTCAACCTTTAGATACATTGAGTCTTGAGAGGATTGAGTCTTCATTGACATAAACCATCCAATGAGCTGTCCAGATTTGCTGGGCGATCCTCTCCTGGTCCAGAAGCTTAGTGGGACAGATGTGCTGTCAATGAAGGCAACATTGACAAGAATTCTGGTTTAGTGGACATTCAAACATGGCCTATTCTCGTGATGGCGAACCTATGGCACGCGTGCCCAAAGTGGCATGTGAAGCCATGTCACCTGGCACATGCGGCATCGCCCGTTACTTTTCCGGGTTTCTGGCACACATGTGTATGTACCGATCAGCTGGCCTTTGTGGGTGCGGAAGAGCTGATCTGTAAGCCAGGAATGGGGCTTCCTCGAACTTCGGAATTGGGAATGTCCAGAAAGAAGGAGGACCAATGGGAATTCTCCCTTCTGCAGCGTCATTGGTCTCCAGGCAGAGTCTCCCTTGACTGGAGGAGAGAGTTCCACGCAGAGAAGCCCAAGTTGGTTATTCAGGCCAAGATCCCCCCCTCCCACTTTCTCCACTTCTCTCTCTCCGTAGAATTGTCTCTCCTTCTTCTGGAAACCGATGACGCTCAAGCAGGGAGAATTCTCATTGGTGCTGCCCCTCGTTCTGGCCCCTCCCATCTCAAAAGTCCATGATAAACACTTCCTCCCCCCAATGCAGAACATGCGGGCTGCCAGCTGATCAGCACATGCACATGCGTGGAAGACTTGCTGGCAGGCGCGCAGGCGCACGCTGGAAACCGGAAGTACCTTATGACGTGCGCCCATGCCCCCTGGGCAGCTCCTCTTCCTGGTCGTGGCCCTGACGAGCGCACGTGCGAAGTGCTCCCTTTTCGGCACTTAGTGCCAGGGTGGATTTGATTTAAATCGAGTTGATTTAAATCACAATTTAAATCATGATTTAAATCACTAGTAAAAAGGCTTGATTTAAATCAACTCGATGTAAATCATAATTTTTAAAGAGCAACTGTCACCTCTGCTACTCCTTTGACCCACTGTTGACTCACCGATAGTCCCAGTGTTGCAGAATATACAGCCTCATGCTACATAACTAAGCTCCATTTCATGCTGAATAAACTAAATTATTTATGTATCTTACATAGAAAACTATCTTACGATACATTTTTACCCCAAAAGTTTTTTATTAAAATAAATTCGATAAAAATAAAAAAAATCTGATTTAAATAAAAAAAATCTGATTTTTTTGATTTTTTTAAAAAAAAAATCATTGATTTTTATCCTTCCTGCTTAGTGCCCCGCACGAGCATGCTCCCTTTTGGGCACTCGGTGCAGAAAAAGTTAGCCATCAGTGGCCTATTTTATAATAGAGGGCAATCTGTGGCTTCTGGACCTCTCCTTTATGGCCCTAGGAGTCCTCTCTGCTCTGGCCACTGAAGTTCAGCAGCACCGTTGCCAAAACTGTCTGGAACTGGTCACGCCACATCTGGAACATTTAGAAGAGAGAACATCTGGGATTAAGAATGTCATACTTACCTTTCTCTGTTTCATTGCAGGTCGGGCCAGTGAAGCCGTCTTCACAGATACAGAAGAAAGGAGACTGATCTTCTAGACTCTTGAGGCAAGTCCCTCCGTTCTGGCACTGATTTACATCACAGAAATCACCTATTAAAAAACACACACACAATTTAACCTATCAGCGCAATAGAGAAGAAAGGGGTTGCTGATTTCTTCCTATCTGCTTCTTTTGAGCATTTATCTAACCCTCTCTCCAGTGGTGGAATCCAAATTTTTTTACTACCGGTTCTGTGGGCGTGGCTTGGTGGGCGTGGAGTGGCTTGGTGGGCGTGGCAGGGGAAGGATACTGCAAAATCCTCATTCCCTCCCCACTCCTGGGGAAAGGATTTGCAAAATCTCCATTCCTACCCCACCCCAGAGGAAGGATACTGCAAAATCCCCATTCCTTCCCCACACCTGGGGGAAGGATATTGCAAAATCTCCATCCCTTCCCCACTCCAGAGGAGGGATATTGCAAAATCTCCATTCCCTCCCCACTCCAGGGGGAAGGATATTGCAAAATCTCCATTCCCTCCCCACTCCAGAGGAAGGATACTGCAAAATCCCCATTCCCTCCCCACTCCTGGGGGAAGGATACTGCAAAATCCCCATTCCCTCCCCATTCCAAAGGAAGGATACTGCAAAATCACCATGTCCTCCCCACTTCTGGGGGAAGGATACTGCAAAATCTCCATTCCTACCCCACTCCAGAGGAAGGATATTGCAAAATCCCCATTCCCTCCCCACTCCTGGGGGAAGGATACTGCAAAATCTCCATTCCCACCCCACTCTGGGGCCAGTCAGAGGTGGCTTTTGCCGGTTCTACTCAAACTACTCAAAATTTCTACTACCGGTTCTCCAGAACCTGTCAGAATCTGCTGAATAGCACCTCTGCCTCCCTCTTATTTCCAGCGCTGTGCAGATATAACAGCAGGGCTCTTGCAGATAGCAAACAGGGGAAAGATCATGCAACAAAAGAATGCACACACACTTCCAAACAAGGGCATGAAACCCATTGCAGGTCAAGGGTTGCACTAACGTTTTTGAGTGACACGCTGGCCAAGGCAAGAGCAAAAGCGAGCTTGCATTTCAAGGCAGTGAAGCTTTCAATATCATTGCCACTGAGCTAATTATTTATTCATTCCTTTGTCCAAGGATCAAAAAAAAAAAAATTATCACGTGGAGCTGACTTGAGTCACACACCCAACTCACCAGACAAATCTATAGAGTCACCAACGGCAAGGGGGGAAAAGCTCCTGGATCAGATCAAAAGCTGATCAGTTTGGACACTTCTGTTTGTAGAGGAACGTGGAAATGATTCTGGGCAATTCAGAAGCCGGGGGAGCCAATGGTCATTGGCCTCTCTCCTTGTTTCTTGTTTTACAATGAATGGCTTTCAGTGTTGTAACCATTCTGACCTTAGACATAATATCCACCATCCTAACCAATAAAGATTGAGAGTCTTGTCATCCATGAATTAGTTTAATCCCTTCTAAAAGACTTGGAAAACAGCTCCTGCTTTTGAATCCCTGGATATAAAGCTTCCCATTGGTAGATGTCTATGGAGATTCTCAGTCATCCAGATCAGAGTTGTCTCAAAGGCGCTTTTTGAAAAGGCAGCTGGACTGTTTTTTCCTTGAGGAAGGAGGAGGAGAAGGGGGGGAGGAGGAGGAGAGGAAGAAGAGAAGAGGAAGAGGAAGAGGAAGAGGAGGAGGAGGAGGAGGAGGAGGAGGAGGAGGAGGAGGAGGAGGAGGAGGAGGAGGAGGAATTCCCACAACACTGTCAAATAATTTACTAGGACTGTATTATGATTATTCTTCTCTTCCTTACTAGTAGCTATCTCTTCCCACTTCTTACTAGAATCATGTTGCTTGTATCTTTCAATTTATATTGTTTTTACTTGTTTCCTAGTATGATTTGATAGCTTATTATTATTTATAATAATAATTATTATTATTATTATTATTGACTATCACTAAGTGTTGTATCTTTTGATTCTCAATGAATGTATTTTATTCTCCTTATGTACACTGAGAGCATATACACCTAAGACAAATTCCTTGTATGTCCAATCACACTTGGCCAATAAAGAATTCTATTCTATTCTATTCTATTCTATTCTATTCTATTATTCTATTCTATTCTATTCTATTCTATTCTACCCTACCCTACCCTACCCTACCCTACCCTACCCTACCCTACTCTAAAACATTTCACTTCACATCCAAGAAGCTTCATCAGTTCTGATGGATAGGTACTGACAGTGGAGACCCTCATCAGAACTGATGAAGCTTCTTGGATGAGAAGCAAAACGTTTGCTGCTTCTTCCTCAAGGAAAAAAAATCCAGTTGCCTTTTGAAAAAAGCACTTTTGAGACTAACCATTCGTAAGTCGAGTCAATGTCTATTACAGACAAAGGCCAGAGACCTGAGCAAGTTAAAAACACTCAAGGAATATCCAGTTTAAAAATCTAGAACAAAATAATAAATGACTGATAAAAAAAAATCTATGTTAAAATCACAATTTGGCATCCAATCTGTCAGTTGCACACGAGCAAAACACAGCATGGCCCAACTATAATATCAATCCTTAAACTGTGGGGCCCGTTGTCATTAAATACTAAATTACCAGTGGTAAAGAGCTACCTTGTCCATACCAAATCACTCATGCTTACTTTACTGCAGGGCCTCCAAAAAGAAAAGACAAAAAAAGAGAGAGAGAGAGAGAGAGAAGTCACCATCACAAACTCAAAACTCTCTGAAGATCAGACAGATGGGAGTAGCTTCCCACACTGAAATGCAGCTTTCTTTGGCTTAAGCTACTCCCAAGATCTTTTTATAGCACACGTTCCTTGGGGTTAATCTCACTTCCTGCCATTCCGCAGACTTCACTGCAGACTTTGCCAAGAAACTTGGCTCCATACAGGGAGTTCAAAGGTGCTGGTGTGACTCCTACAGCCAATCTTGAAGAAAGAAAGAAAGAAAAAAGCAACAGAGCTGGGCAGGAGTTCAAGTCCTTGCTTGTACTGTTGCTCTGGCTGGTTCTGGATGACTTCACCTTCTATCTATGCATTGCCATGAGATAGAACCAAAGGAGAAGAGCTTGCCACTTGGAAGAAATCAAAACACTGTCTCCATCCAACTCAGACCATCAAAGGCTGGGAAGAAAGTCTCCCTTTTGAACAGCTTTCAGCCAAGGATCTCTAAGGTTCCTGCCAAGCTACTGTAAAAACCCAAAGCCTCTTGGAAGACAGGAAATGTTTAAATAACCATGTGGCTTTATTTGTTTGGATTCTTCTCCTGTATTCCTTCAGGGCTCCTTCGAAGTCAAGGGTCATTCACTCAACTTCCAACAGGTGGGGAAATCTCAGATGCGACGTTATTAAAGCTAATTTAAAAAGATTAAAAAAAAAACAAATACCAACTCAGATAAAGTGAGAAAAACAAAAGGAGAAAGAAGAAACCAAAGAAAAAGCTAAAAGTGCAAAACAGGGGGGGGGGGGGGAGATTAAAATAAAGTAGAAAAGAAAGGAAAAAAAGATACTAAGAAATTGAATGTGGAATAATAAGAGTTGGAAGGGACCTTGGAGGTCTTCTAGTCCAACCCTCTCCGAGCAGGAGACCCTATACCCATGATGGCGAACCTATGGAACGCATGTCACAGGTGGCACGTGGACCATATATGTGGGCACGCAAGCGTTGCCCACATTAAACTCCAGCACGCATGCGCGCACTGGACAGCTGATTTTTGGGCCTTCTGGTCCCATCAGAAGTCAGGAAAACGGGCCGTTTCCTGCCTCCGGAGGGCCTCCGGAGGGGGGTGGGGAAGGCCATTTTTGCCCTCCCCAGGCTCCTAGAAAGCCTCTGGAACCTGGGGAGAGCGAAAAAACGGGCCTACCGGGCCATCACACGGGGGAGTGGGGGGGGGTTGTGCGCACATGCGTGGGGGGCAAGGCGCATTAAATTATGGGTGTGGACCCCACACACTACGCCCACGACGGCAAAAAGGTTAGCCATCACTGCCCTATACCAGGGGTCTGCAATCTTAAACACTCAAAGAGCCATTCTTTTCCCACAGAAAAGAAAACACCGGGAGCCACAAAACCCTTCCCATGCCTGACTAGTTCTTGAGCGGCCACAAAACTAGCATATGTAGTCGAAATTAAACGTTCTGTTTTCTTCTGAAGCTTTTCTTTTCTTGGATTTATCCATGGTTGGCCTACGGGGGTTGAAAAGCTGAATAAATCACGTGCCGGCGGGTGTTGCACACTGGCGGTTGTGACACATAGTTTGAGTGAAAGGAGGCAGCAGCAGCAGAGGGATGAAGGAGCCACATGTGGCTCCAGAGCCACAGATTGCTGACCCCTGTCCTATACCATTTCAGACAAATGGTTGTCCAATCTCTTTTTGAAAGCCTCCAGTGATGGAGCATTCACAACTTCTGAAGGCAAGCTATTCCATCGGTCGATTGCTCTCATTGTTGATACATTTCTCCTTAGTTCTAGGTTGCTTCTCTCCTTGGTTAGTTTCCAGGCATTGTTTCTTGTCTTGCCTTTTGGTGCTTTGGAAAATAGTTTGACATCCCCCCCCTCCATCTTTGTAGGAGCCCCTCAAATCTGTAGAGATTCTCAGTCATGCAGGTCCTGGTTGTCCCAAAGGTTCTTTTTCAGGAGGCAACTGGACACTCTTGTTTTTTCTTTGAAGACATTTCACTTTCCAGCCAAGAAGCTTCTTCAGCTCTGACAGGATAGTGGGGAATGGAAGGATTTGTATTCCTTGCAGACAGCTTGTCATTTGATATAAATCCTTCCATTCCCCACTATCCTGTCAGAGCTGAAGAAGCTTCTTGGATGGGAAGCGAAATGTCTTCAAAAGAAAAGAAACAAGGAAGTCCAGTTGCCTCCTGAAAAAGCACCTTTGGGAGCCCCTTAAATATTGGAACACTGCTATCATGTCTCCCCTAAGTCCTTCTTTTCATTAGGTTAGACATACCCAATTTCTGTAACTGTTCTTCGCCTGTTTTAGCCACAGTAATTGGTGGCGGCGGCTCTGCACACTGTTAGCTACCAAACTTTGGCAGCGATAAGTACAATTATAAATTTGCATCTT